CGTAAACTGAATAAATAAATATATAAATAAATAAATCGTCGGCATCAACGTTGTTTTCCATCAGGTGAGATGAAAGTAAAATGTGCCCTTATTTGTTACAAAAAATGGTGGTACTGAGTGACCGGGCTGTCAGCGTTTTGGCGCGCAGTTTCCGCCGGACTGGTCCAAAACTATGTCAAGCAAAAATTTGCCTTAATTTCGTAAATTAGTTTATTTGATACGTCTGAGTCTCATTGAAGTTTTTTATTTAAAACTAATATCACTGCATTGATTGTTTCAGTCGATCGATCCATTTATCAGTTTATAATTTTACCGATTTGGCGCTATTGACTCGTCAAACTATGTTGCTAATTCCTCCGTAGTTGGCGATGGATTGGCTTTACCATAGATTATAAGTTGTCATTATTCACTGAAAGCTCTGTTCGTCCACGAGGATTATTTGCTAGGGTAAAATATTCAAGGCGGAATTGAGCAAACAAAAGTAACTGAGGTTTTAAACTTAGCAGCCATAAGTTTCTATTTGATACAGTTTCTAATCTGATCGCTAAAAATGCTTTATTTAATTTCAAAGGGGCTAGAACTTAAGGACGGCAATTTTAACGCCTAATTTAACGACTTTTCGGAACAATAATTGTGCCTCCGTTTACTCACGATTCCGAGTTAGGAAAAAAAAGGCGTACGCAAAACGAGTTTTTGCTGAAATTGAATTTTTTAATTAGAACCGGATTGTACAAGTTCGCAACCTGTTTTTTGTATTGTGTTGTGCCAGATTTTGTTTTTCAGATATTCAACTCTGTTCGCACATCCATGTTGTTGTTTCAGTTAAAAATTTCAATAAAACAGAGTGCAGAACAAAACAAGTTTGTTTTCCATTTAGCGGCGACAACAAACAAAAGGAGTTTCCGATATTGAACGCCACGATGCAACTGACTTCAATAATGGTTATCACAGTATATCGGTGTTATGTAGAAATGGTGAAAGCGGTATTTTGAAAAATGTTTCAAGGGATCATTCAGGGATCATTTTCGTTTGTCACGGCTGTTTTAAAATATTTACGTCCTGTTTTAAATTAAATTTTAAAACTTATACTTAATTAAAACCAATATTGAATTATAAAACACGATAAATATTTATTTCACTGCCTCTGTGGTCGAACGGTTACCATACCGGACTGCCACGCAGAGGTCCCATGTTCGATTCGCGGGCCGGGAGAAATATTTGTATTGCCTACATTTACTTCTCTCGTGAGTTTGGCTGTAATGTGTGGTTGTCTATGTGTGTGTCCATGGCACTTGCGGCACAGGTTTCCCCAGTGCGGAGCTATGTTGAGTATGATGTGCGTTATTTTAAAACAGTCGTTAAAACCTAAAAAATGCTCCCTTGAAATTTTTTTCGAAGTGGTGCTTCTTACAAAACACCGATAATATATGAACTATGAATTGGTGAACTATCTCTTCTTCCATGACGTCACAAATGTGTTACCAGCCGTTTTTTTGCCTAAAAAATAGCAAGCGCCCAAGCAGCACACCCGTATCTAAATAGATACTATAAGATATCTAATAGAATTTAATTCGATTGAATATCTTAAGAGTTCAAATTCCCTCAAGATATCTCGAAGAAGGTTTCTAGATAATTTAAAGTAAACGTGGGCACAACTTTATTAGTAGATCACGAGAGTGCTTTGAGAAACATCTGTAGGTAGTGTTAAGAGTGATTCTTATCTTTTTTCTCAAGTAACCCTTCTAGAATGCTACAAGACCATTTGTAGAATGTAGATAGCTGTTATTTAGTCTTGTAGACAGTTTTTAGATAATTCATAGTCTATGATAGTTTTCTTAGTAATGCTATTTTAAAACCAAAATATTAAAGCGTTACAAACATAAGACGCAATTCTCTTAATACTAATAGATTTCAAGTTTAATGGCTTACAAAATATAAACTATCAAAATTGCAACATGGCGAAATTAGATATAATATTTCTGACTTTTTCGCGCAATGTTTAATCGATTAGAAAGCTATGCGGTAGTCAAATTATAACTCAGCGATTACATTTAACTATTCTCTGAAATTGTATTCAACAAAGTTTACTGTATTATTCCATTATGTAAAAGCGTTCATGGTCAATTGAATCAGCTCTGGAAATCATCCAACAAACACGAAAAGTTTTCATGGAAATAAAAACGATTTTAACGTTTTTCATTTGTGGTATAGTGGGTGTGAAATATGCACAATTTGCAGTCGCATTTTGTAGTTTATTTTTCTGTCCGGTCAAATTGAACTTTTTCGGATTCGATATGTAACGTGGATATTAAACGCCTGACGTTTCTGCCAAACAGAATCTGGCAATAGCTGTGTTATTGCCATTTGTAGCAATTTTTTTTGTTTGGTTATCTCCACACCGCGAGATTACAAAGTCGAAGTTTAATAATCTCCTAAATTGCTTATGAAATCATCATATTAATTAAACTTTTTTACCTTCACGCAGAAAAGTGTTTTTGTAATGGCTCCAAAATTTTACCAAAAGCACTAAGGTCTGAGAAAAACTTTATCCTATTTTAAAAACAATTAAACAAGTTATTGACTAATAAAATATCCAGTGTTCGAATTTGTAAATGATAAATCCCCAAATTTATTGTCTAATTTTTGACATTGGACGTTATTGACGTTATTCATATTACGATATTTTGACATCTATTTACCATTAAAATTGACCCGTGTAACTAGCATCGCGTTTAAATTCTGACCGACTTATTAAATCTATGTGTGCACGCCATTGATTTACAATTATATGGACGTCGGGTCCGCGCTAAAAAGTGCCCGCACTTGTAAGGCGCTAAAATCGTATACAGAGCGCCAAACTCCGCTTTAGTCTTCATTTGTTCGACTGACAGCGCGATACTGCGATGACATTACAATTTAAATTTCGAATAGGTTGACTTGGGACATTTTTTTCGTGGTTTTTGTATTAGACCCGTCGTCCATTTATTTGTAAGTCAATGGTGCACGCCCATGTAATATTATTGTAAAATAAACATGTTACACCTGGTTTGGTCTGTCGAAGTGCATGTGAGTGAATGTATAATATAACCTTCAATATTTGTATGACTAATATTTGACCGGACGGAATGAAACTATACTTAATTTATACATGTCAGCTTCTTTATAACCTGTGTTTTCACAAATAAATTAATTATTATTATTATCTACTGCTCATTCGTAAGCATGACAACAGCTCCGGTATCTATTTAGATAATAGGAGGGCGATGTGCGTGCACGGGACGCTCATCCAAGGCACTAACTAGCCTTTTTAGAATCGGATGAAGGTCAACTGGCAAACCTGGGTCAGGACCTGTCTGATAAGGTATCTGTGCGGGCTCGCTGGCTCAGGTAATAGCGTCCTTCCCGTATAAGCAAAAGTGGATAAGAATAGGAAGATATGGAACTGCTCATTCGTAAGGCAGTTTCGCCAGACACGAATGAGCAACAACCTCTAGGAGTTTCTTTTTTGTAAATAAACATTTGTACACATTCATCGTTTATAATATTTATTTCAAACATCATAGATACCACGGATATTTGTCACCCAAGTACGCAGAAGCAGTATAATAAACCTTTAGTATAAAGTTTTTGATGAACTATGTTTTACTATTATATTTTTTTTATTCTCGCAATAAAAGATTGATATAACACTAACCTCCTTAGACCCAGTAAACTAAAATGTAACAAGCACTAAACGTTATATATAATTACATAATTCTTTCTTCTTCTTTATAAGTATGCCCTCAGTTGTGTATGAAAAACTTATTTTACTAGATACCCTATGGTCATATACAAAGCGCCAAATTTTAATGCGATATTTTCATTAAAATGTATACTGAGCACTTGCTTGATCATGGTAATATTGTCTGGGTCTAAATCACTTTACATATTATGTACATTTTGATGTATACCGGGCCTTAGGATATTAAATGGGTGCGAGAGAGCCCAATATAATGGTTGCTCAAAACAAAACTGTTTTCTCCTCTACTTTAGCAGGTAACATATCTTTTGGTAAATCTCTCTGATAATCATCAGTCCTACGTGCCATTCCCATTAAATCGTTTATCAAGTAAGCAATGAATTCAATTCGTATATCTTATTAAGAGTGGAAAGGTTGTAAACCTTAATGAGCCGTGACCAGGTTCACGGCAATAAAATACGATATTTCGGTCCGCAGAAAATTTATTCGTAATTTAAACGAAAGGGGAAAAAAGAGGCTGTAACAAAAAAGGTATATTATATAATAAACAGGTAGAACGCTACAGAACACTCCCTACTTGAATACTAAACGTGAGACAGGCTTACCCTGAAAGGACCGAGTTATACGGTATTACAGATTCGTATTAAAATTGGCACATGATTAGTACCTAGTAGTTATTACAGAATGGTTTTAAAACTGGCAAGAGAATCGTCTGGTAAAAAAATTAGAGCAGTACCATTCGCTGCCGCGATCGAGTAGGGAGTGGCGATGGAACGAAATAAAATCAGAATGGCGGGGTAAAGGAATTAAGGAACGATTCAAAATTTGAAAACAAATGGCCAGAAACCGGAGAAAGGCGACAAAAAGGTAAGATGACGATGTAAGGAGGTCCCATCGTCACAAGAGTATTGTATAGTCTCATTTGTTGAGTGAATATGAACACAAACTTACTACCTGAGCCACAGGTTAAAGCAATCCTATGGTGCAGCATGGTCATGGGTTCAAATATCACCGGGTCAACGAAAAAAAAAAGTTTTCGATCTTTGTATTAATAACCATAACAAAACTAGTGGAGTTATTTCTCAAAAATCTCAATAATGTACTGTTGTTAGAAGTTTACTATTTATGTGTTTACTACAACAGCTTTTTTCTTCATTTTGATTTACAACAATATATCGTTTAAGTCATAAGGGTCTATGATTTTATTAATTCTATTCTGCCACTGCCGATATAATAAAATTTGTCATTTCTTTTGTTACAGATTACAAAATGTCTGTCTCAGAATTCAGACGAAAAAAACTTCTCTATGTCTTCAATGTCTTCTTTGGTAAAGTATTTACAGTCAATTGTCCTTTAAAAGCTTTGAATTAACTTAATTCATTTAAAAACAAACACTTACAAATGAAGTTTTAACATTTTAACAACTCTAGTTGTTTCACGAGAGAACATTTTAAATTGAGTAGTTGCTATATTTACTTGAATAGTACATTTGAATTAAATGTTAAATTGAAGAATGGTTTAACGGTGTCTTATTTTTTTATAGATGTCAATCAAAGCGGCACAATAGAGAGGAAAGACTTTGAGCTGGCTATAGAGGTAAATTATTTTAATTTAAAATTGTCTTTGGAATTAAATTAATTTTAAATTCATATATCGCTTGAATTTCTGTAATGAAAGGAATTTCTATTTTAATGTAATGGATAATCATTATTTATATATTAATAATATTTATTGATTATCATGATTACATACATACACACATCAAAAAAAGTTTGCGATCAATAGCATAAGCTCCTATAATTCTTTAAATTTAACTTTATCAAGAAAAAATCTATGTTGTATGCTTTCTTTAAATAGGAATACCCTGTTTGAAATTAAAATATAAAACTATTTTATATTATTTATTTTAAAAAATTGAGCCTTTAATCATAATGTAATAGTGATAGAAATTTCATAGAAAGAAAAAGACTGTTTAATTAAACTTAAACAACAATTTATTATTAAAAGGTATGAATTCAATATAAAATAACTCCTCCCCTGGCTTGAATACATGCGAAGATCCTCCTGGGCATGCTGAGGATCAAGTTATCCAGCATTTCCTGGGGTAACCTATCACATTCTTCAATAGTGGCTTCCCTGAGCTCTGGAACTGTCTGGGGACGTGGCTCACGGTTCCATACTGCTCGTTTAAGAGCATCCCACGCGTGCTCTATTGGGTTTAAGTCGGGCGAGCCGGCAGGCCAGTCTAATCGTGTGATATCGTATTCTTGAAGAGCGGCATTGACTCGTTGAGCTCGATGTGCGGGCGCATTATCATCGACCAGTACAAATTGGTGCCCATGGTTTACTCGGAATGGTCTGACGATATCATCAATAGCAACTGCTTTGTACATGTCTGCTGTCATGAAGCCCCGATACGGGATCAAAGGCGTTCTAGCTCCAATCATAATGCCACCCCAAAAGGACACCGATTTTCCGCCTTGCTGAACTGTTCCAGTGGCAGTTCTTTGTCTTTCACGGTCGCCTGGTCTTCTCCAGACACGGACACGTCGGTTATCTGGATGAGTGCTGATTCGGGGTTCGTCAACGAAGAGACAGTTTTGCCAAATGTTTTCGTCCTCACCTTCTTCATTTTGCCGAAGTCTAGCCCACTGCAATCTTCGTTGTTGACGTTGCCGGGAATTGAGCGGAGCTCGCCAAGACCTCCGTGCTCGTAATCCAGCCTGGTGCAAGCAATTGCGAACGGTCTGCGTGCTAACTTCAAGCCCAGAGGCGGCCCTGACTTCTGCTTTTATTTTAGTGGCGTTGATTGTTGGATCACGGGCTGCCAGCAATCTAATATAGCGCTTTTGGGCAGCTGTCAAAACAGTTGGGCGACCGCTGCGGGGTCGGTCAGCTAAATTCCCCATTCCGTGATACCTCTGCAACGTAGCCACGACCCAGGATTTGGATATAGCAAGTCTGCGTGCTATTACTCTCGTGGTGTATCCTTCTTCCCTCAAAGTTACTATTCTAGCTCGTAAAACCTCTGATAATCCTCTTGGCATTTTTTCAATCACAACTTTCCGCGAAAAATATCTTGAATCGCTTATAATTGACTAAATCAGATTTCTGAATGAGCGTAAGCTAGGACTGAAAGCCTTTTTATATGAAAAAACAATTGAACGGGGTCATTGTTTTATGTTCTAATTTATTTTTAAATAAAGAATCTAAAAAGAAGAAAAAATCATAATATAATCTACAGTAACAAAAAAGATTTCAGTTTTTCGAAGTGATCGCAAACTTTTTTTGATGTGTGTATATAATCATTATCATCCGTTAAGATAGTGTCTCTGACCTAAATGTTTACATTGGCTGGAATTGATTGAATTCCAGGATATAGGTTTCTTAAATACGTGCTTTATTCCGTTCTACAATATTGTAGACATTTATTCTTATACAATACCATGATATTCATCTATTTATTGTAAAAATACTCCACTAGTTTGTTATTATTATTTATACAAAATTTGAACAAACACAAAGAAAAATTCCTTTAATCCTACTGGACTCGAACCAGCGTATGTTGCCTCGACGTGGGTTATAGCGTATATATAGTGGGTAATAGCGGTCTATTACCATTGATTTCTATTTCAAATTCTATTAATTTATAATGTGTTTTTAACCATTACCATGGTAGAATATCAACAAAGACTACTCTATAGTTATCTGTAGCTGAGTCATAAACCCACTTTCTTGTCCATTTTATGGTACATTTTTATTCATTTTTTATTGCATTGCATGTAAAAAACTAATAATTTAGATTACCTATCAGTATAATAATACTAGGAACTATAAATCTGCAATAGCAACTTCAATTATTATATATCTCTTCAGCAATTACAATGATATTCAATTTAGCTTTGGAACTTGTTCTCGAATTAACAAGGATTTGTAGCAGATGGTCCCTTGTAGCAGCTACGCAAATGGCTACGCCGTAGTATCTAGATTGGTGTCGGAGTCTGCCTTTCCAGAATACAATAAACCATTTTAACGCTTTTAGTTAAATTTTAAATGGTCGTGCATACCCAATATCACACTTTTAAATCTTAACAGTGATTGAAATAGGCAGTGTATATTTACCTAATAAGCATACACAGAGTGGATAATAGTTCCTCTAAAATATCGAAATATTTTACCTTACAATTACGAAACTTTACTTCTTAAGCATTATGTTCTTAATAGACTACCGGAACTGCTAGTTACACATCAATATACACACATAAGCACATTTAGCGGGACACTAGTAAAGTAGTAAAAAATAATACAGAGCTTTGTTATGCAACTTTTTTATTTTGGGTCTAACTTGGAAACAAAAAATTTGTCGATTGTCTTTTTTGGCATTTGTTTAAAATTCCAGCTAATTACAGATTTACCAAGTGGTTCAATTTTCGTTCTTGTAAATTTCGTAAACATTAGTTATCGTTTCTTGTGTTTTTCTATTTGTTCAATTTTTATTTAATCAATACTAAAAATTTTGAATTTTCAAATTTTCAGCTATTTCAGCGTTATTGCAAAATGACAAAAAATTTAATTTTGATTATTTTCAATAAAGGTGGAGTAAGACTGTACTAAGTCGATGTAAAATGATATTAATTTAATTACTACTTTACGTCTAATTGTTATTTATTTATATTCTCACGTTTTTGTTATAATTCATATAATTGTGAAAACTGGTTGTATGAAAGTTGACATGTACAAATTTCAGTGTATCCGGCCAAACAATAGTCATACAAACATACTAAAAGTATATATTTACTGACATACACTTGAACAGACCTGTTTTACCAGGTGTAAAATGTTTTTTTTTAACATCACAAATGGATTTAAAAAGTTAATCAATAATTTAAATGCGGTGATAGTTATTTGGGTCAATGTTAATGATAATAATTGTAAAATAATATAATAAGAATAATTGTACATTACTTCTTTGGATTTTAGGTAAACACCAGGTAAACACCACCACATTCAAACTGACTATTTCTGAATAACATACAGTATTTCCTACTACAAAAGTACATATGCTCGACACTATTACACAGACTAAAGTAATTGTAAGACATTCCTAAATGTAAATACATCTGCAACTGTTTCAGCTTCTTGAAACACAATAACAATGCATTGTATGAAGTTCAAGCTAGCATTATCAACTTGCATAACAAAAGCGTGAAGATGAGTTCTGAATACTATCAAAATAGATGTTAAATTATATTATTTGTTCAATAGAAAATCTGCAGTCAGCGAGGATGGAATCCTGGTGACCCCAAGCATACGGAGACGCACGAGATCATGATCAAGATCTGGGATGGCCTGAGGAAGAGAGCTGATTCCAACAAAGATGGACAGGTATTTTTCACTTGCCATACTCACTAAGAAGGTCCTAGAATCTTTCGATATATCTTCAGTTCCGCCTAATTTATTTTCGTCCTTCACTGTTAGTGTCCATATTTCACACCGTAAGTATAATAAATACATACAATAAATAACTTCAAAATACATAAATCGACTCCTCCTACGTAATCTATAATTTTCCATAAATTACTTTACTTTTGTATGGGTCTATACTCAGCAGTAAAATTACGCGGCATGGAAAATAAGCCGAAAGAAAATGGCCAAAAAATAAAGTTGGCGTAGTGTTCACTGGAGGTATCGTATCGTATATATAATATGTATGTATGTACCCCTATAAAGTTGCGAAGGCTTACAACTTTTTACATAGCATAGCAATATATTTATGTATAAATAGTTATATAAAAAAATGTTACTTCAGAAATACAAATCGTGCAGTAAAATACTGCATGATAGATGTGCTTGGCCATTATCGATAATATAATAAGCTTCGGCTTATTATGTTATCGTGTCGGCTGTAGTCATCACTACATAAAAGATGGCGCGTTAGGCACGCAAAAATCGAGTATTATTGAAACTTTTCCACATTTGCTACATACTACACACGCTTGCCATGTTCACTGTAAACCAATCCTCGTGTTGAAGTTCCAGCCAATGCGAGAGTGAAAATCAACATTCCAGTAAATAAAATTTTGTTTTCTATTCAAAAATAAATGAAATCAAGATTATTTATATTAAAAACAACATAAGAGCATCATCATTCACCATTGACTTACAAATAAATGGACGACGGGTCTAATACAAAAACCACGAAAAAAATGTCCCAAGTCAACCTATTCGAAATTTAAATTGTAATGTCATCGTAGTATCGCGCTGTCAGTCGAACAAATGAAGACTAAAGCGGAGTTTGGCGCTCTGTATACGATTTTAGCGCCTTACAAGTGCGGACACTTTTTAGCGCGGACCCGACGTCCATATAATTGTAAGTCAATGTCATTCACTGTCAGATTTCTCATATATCTGAGTATGACTTCCACTATTTTCTGCCCTTCACCGCAATCTTGCGTTTACTCTAAATAAATATTACATATAATATATATCTATATACTGAATATATATTTTGAGTAACAATAGAACTCGACTAGGGGGCCTACTATGAGCTTATATGCAGCCAGGCAAGTTCCATGCAATTCATTTGACGTGGTAAAACTGAATTGCTTATATACCAGGTGGAAATTTGTAATACCACCTGGAGGGAAAGTACTCTAAATAAAAAGAAATTTTTACTTTCAGGAAACATTCCTTTCGTTTTTAAAAGAAATAAAACTGCATTAATAGATTTTCGAAAATTTCTAGCAACACGTGGGAATCGAACCCGCTTTAATCTAAAAAAAAGCACCCTGCACTTTTATTGCATCGATCGATAGGGTTAATTATAAGAATAAAATCTCTCTCACAAAATTGGTAATTAAATGAACAAAAAAATACCATGAAATCTTATCGTATTTTAATAAAGCGAAAAAAATGATAATCTAACTAATTAGTTGCTCGAAATGAGCTCCATTTTCTTGGACACACAAATTTAACCTTTTAACGAATTCATTTTGAGTATCTTTTAATAACGTGTTGTGATGAATTGTATTACAAATCGTATTCTGAACCTCAGCCTTCAACTCGTTTACACTCGCTTAGGATTTAAGGTTAAAAAATCGTCGTTGAGACATGGGTCTTCAATCAACTTGACTCCAATCTAAATTCACAATATTCTCCAGTGAATTGAGACGCACTGTAGTTTACTGTGATCCCACGTTGTTCCTTTAAAGCGGATCCTGTAACACACACGCGCAATGAAACGACAACGTGTAGGAAGTTAATGTTGTGACAAATTAAATTTTTTCACGTCGAATTCTACAGTTGTTTTCGCCCATATTCATTTATTTTTTTACCAAACAATTGTCGTATATTTTTAGTATACAATTTCATACAGTGCCTTTAAAATGGGTAATGATCCCACGAAACATCAATTCATTCTATTAGCTTTTAAATTTATCACTTTGACGTCATGAACATGCGTTTTTTTTTAAATGTGGGTTGAATTTAAGAGAATTTGGTTCCGAATAATTTTTCGTTTTACTTAAGTTCGATTCAAACTAACGATATTATTAATTTCATTTATTATTTGATAAGGTTATCGGTTTTGTGCCTAAATTCTTGTACAGATTTTATTCTTATTTTAAAATTGCATTTTTACGTCAAAAAAATATTTTTCATTTACTGATGTATATTAAAATGTAGATATGTATGTACTTGTAAATCTACAGTTATGATACAAAACAAATCGTCGATAATTTGATATTTAAAGTATATTTCTTTATAATAAATAAATAAATATTGAACAACATCACATAAGTTACTCTTATCACAAAGTAAACTAAAGTACTGTATTATGGAATACGGAAACAGCGACAGTACCACAAACACCCAGACTCGAGACAATATAGAATAGATAGATAGATAAATATACACTTTACTGCTCAGACAAGAACAAAAACAGTACATAGACACCGGGAAAAGGCGGCCTTATCGCTTAGAGCGATCTCTTCCAGACAACCTTTGAGATATAGGAAAGCTAAGCAGAGCGGGATACGTAGTGTGCCATTAGCAAAATTTGAATTGTGCAGATAGACAAAAAATAACATAAATTTAAATCGACGTCATAATATGCTAATACAAAATTATATATCTCCGATAACACGTACAGGTTAAGGATGTATTTGCAAAGAGCAATGAGATAATGGCAGCTCCAGAAAAAAAAGAAGATTGGAATGATATGCGATCTCTATAACATGTACATTTTTGTAACAGAATAATGATAAGGATTTGACGTTTACATTTAATTATAATAATAATAATAATAACGCTCACAATCAACATAGCCCCGCACTAGGGAAACCCTATGTCGCGGGTGCCATGGACAACCACAAATTACACCCAAACTCACGAGAGAAATAAATGTAGGCCATACAAGTATTTCTCCCGGCCCGGAATCGAACCTGGGACCTCTGCGTGGCATGGTAACCGTTCGGCCACGGAGGCAGTTAAATTAATATTATAGAGATGTTTTTCGTATCTCGGATAATTCATATTTTAAACTAAAGACTTTACACGACTCTTGTTGAAATACTGAAGACTTAAACTTAAGGATTTTACTCTGAAGACTTAGATCGAAACATTTTGTACTAAAAAAAAAGAGAAACTAATGACTAGGCAGTATGGTCTCTGACCTTCGCCTGTTCCATGTGGAACGAAAGAAAACAAAAAAAATTAAACGCCATGAATATCTCGCGAACACTAAAAAGGAACATAGAAAGTCTAAGCCAAGGCTTTCTTCAGTACAGTCTGATCATATTGTTGACATCAAGTCACGTAACCAGTGTTCAATGTAGAGGGCTGGTTGAATCTTATCTTAAGTAGAATTAAAATCAATATAACTTGTAAAATAACACGAGTTTATTCTTTGGAGGCAAAGCACAAAGGTGAAGTAGTTGAAGAGTGAAGAAATTTTGACAGACGATTTAATTCTTTACACAATTAGGCATATGTTCTCACTTATACAGCCTAGTTTAAATCTTACAAATAAATAGTAAACTAAATATTAGCTATTTAACAATCAGCTAAACAGAAGAACAAGTACCCAATGTCTGTAAATTGGCGTATATCCATCAGCCGTACATAGAATGACGGCTACCAAAAAGTCACATTATTCCATTATTTTTAACTGGGTAGCTGTTTATTTGTGGCCGCAAAAAAAACAATAAAAATTCCAGCAATACAAAAGCTGTTAAACACATTCGTAATACTGAACCCTAAAAAGCGGGAATTTTAATCACTTCCATATGAACTTGCGCACGCTTAACAAAGAGGGTGAAAAATGTCCAGTCTTTTTTACTTTTAATTGAGTTTTTTTTTCAAAGCAATAATTGTCGCGTGCGAGTTTTTCCCACCTTTTTAGATTAAATTGGCGATGAGGCTTTACAAGGGTTTTTGCAAACTAATTCAGTTATTGTACGCCCTTTTTTATTATCCAGGCCACAAAAGAATACTTGAGTTTGTTAGGATAGTATTGCCTGGGATGGCAGCCTTTGATATGGAGCAGATTCTGATTTATTATATTGAAAGGCTTTGAACTTCTCTTAGTGATTCGAAATTGTTTTTTATATTAGAAAGGAAAATATTTTCTTGAACATATTGTTATCTAATTTTTACATAGATTATGACGGAAAGAGGACTTTTATACTGTGAACAGTCATCAAGCTTAACACTTTGACCTTAGAACCTGTTGTTGATCTGTAAAAGAACATACAAAAGTTAAAAAAAAACAATATCCAAGGGTGCGAACCTCGACGTAGCTTTTACCCTCAAGTTAAAGACTTAACCTCTGAAGTCTTACTAAGTTTTTAAGTTTTTAAATTTTAAATTTTTAAGTTACCATGCCGGACTGCCACGCAGAGGTCCTAGGTTCGATTCCCGGGTCGGGAGAAATATTTGTATGGCCTACATTTATTTCTCTCGTGAGTTTGGGTGTAATTTGTGGTTGTCTATGTGTGTGTCCATGGCACCCGTGACACAGGGTTTCCCTAGTGCGGGGCTATGTTGAGTGTGTGCTTTATTTATTTATAAGTCGAAAGTTTAAAAAATAACTTTTATATAAAAAATAAACCGACCACAAAAGTTCGTGGAATTACATCTATTTGCCAATTTTTATTGAAATCGGTTACAGGAAAATGCACGAAACCGGATTCATCCCCTAGTTGGCAAACTAGGTTAGAGCCCTAAGAGGTTAAACCCTTAGAGGTGGAAAATTTTCTTCAAATTTCAAGAATTGTTAAAATCGGTTCTCAAAAAAGAGCCGGAGTTATCGCGTAACATACATTAAGAAAATATTAGGTATATTTCATTTGAATAATTTATTACAATAATAAAATAAATAGAACAAACAATATGAAAAGACGCTATACCAACTAAGCCATGGAACGAACCAGCGGACCTCACGAATTTTTTGAACGTTGAATCGTTGAAAAACCCAAATACAAAGATGCGACGCAAACACGTAGAAAAATTCGTGAGGTCCGCTGGTTCGTTCCGTGGCTTAGTTGGTATAGCGTCTGGCACGGTAAGCTAGAAGACGTCGATTCGAATCCGGTCGGATCGAAGGAATTTTTTCTGAGTGTTCGATCTTTGTATTAATAATTATAACAAGCTAGGGGAATAATTTCACAAAAAGTAATTGAATCTCAATTCAATAAAAATTTAAAATATGAAAAGAGTAAGTAAGCTACAATGATTGGATTTTTCAGGTCCTTTGCGATGCCTTCGTCCTTATACATCACGACACTCACATTTCTTCTAAGACAGACCACACAAATTTTCTATAGAGTAACCAACGTTTTTGATTCAAATCGGAATCGATACGAACGGGTAGTCTCGAAATCAGATGGGTTTCTGAGCGAGAAGATGAACCTGATACCTACTATATCTTTCTAATCAGTGAGTTAAATCAACTATAGTTCCGATTAGAAATATAATGATCAATGATCGCTAGTCAGCTGTACCGCCTCTTCAACCTTTGTTGGTCAAGCGGCCGAGTGCCAAGAGACTGGGGCAAGGTTGTCATCATACCATTGTATAAGGGAAAAGGGTCGCAGCGAGACTGCAAAAATTACCGCGGAATCAGTCGTCTCAGCATTGTCGGCAAATTATATGCAAAGGTATTGTTTCAGAGAGTGAAAGAAAAGGAAGAAAAAAATTGGGACGTGCAAGCGGGATTTCGAAAAGGAAGGATGCATGGATCAGGTTTTCTCCTTGCGAAACATGACCGAAAAGTTCTTGGCTAAAAGACAAAAAGTCTATTGCGCTTTTATAGACTTGGAGAAGGCCTACGACAGAGTGTCAAGGAAAGAATTGTGGTCGACATTGTCTATGTATGTGGTGGACGGCAGTCTAGTTCAGGCACTGAAATCTCTCTATGAGGATTCCAGTGCCTATGTCAGAATAAATGGTGCTTACACTGACTGGTTCGATATCGGGAAAGGTGGTGGACAGGGATGTGTAGCGTCGCCATGGCTGTTCAATCTAATTATGGACAATTGTTTGAAAGTTTTGAAAGAGAGTACGTGTGGGCTGAGAATTAATGGTTTACTCATTAAATGCCTCCTATACGCCGATGATCAGGTGGTATTAGCGTCGTCAGTGGAGGAGTTGCAAGATATGGTAAATAGTATGCATGGTGCTCTTAAAAGGAAAGGAATGAAAATTAATGTGTGCAAGACGAAAGTAATGGTTTTTGAAAGAGAGAAAGATATGAGGGATTGTACGATGTTGAGGAGAGAAAGTGGAACAAGAACAAGAAAGAGTTTGTGTATTTGGGTTCTATGTTTACGTGTGATGGAAAATGTGAAAGAGACATTGAAAGAAGAGTGAACGCAGGGAATCAGGTGAATGGTGCCTTGCATACCTTCATGGGCAGCCAGAAAGTATCTAAAAAGGCACGATTGGCTGTGCATGGGGGGTGCTGGTTCCTACACTTATGTATGGTAGTGAATGTTGGATTTGGCAGAAGAAGCATGAAAGTAGAATTAATGCAGTGGAAATAAGAGCTTTGAAGAGTATGGCTGGAGTGACTCGGATGGATAAGTTACGGAACAGTGTGATAAGAGAGCGTTGCGGCGTGGAAGAAGATATAGTGACAAAGATAGAGGAAGGGATGCTTAGATGGTTTGGACATGTAGAGAGAATGAATGAAAGAAGAGTGACGAAACAGATTTATAAGGCGAGTGTGAGCGGGCAAGTTGGTATGGGCGGACCAAGGCGAACTTATCATGACCAAATTGAGGCCATCATAATGAACGGCCAGGTCAAGAGTACCCTTAACCGACGAGCGTGCATGAACGCATTGATGCGTATTGATGAGGTGAAATATGTGTGTCAGGACCGTAGCAAGTGGAAGACTGTTGTCTCTGCCTACCCCGATGGGGAAAAGGCGTGAAGTATATGTATGTATGTATGTACAAATGTCAAAAGTTTCCGATCGGCCAGTTGTGAATCGCAATTATGTTAAATGTCAAGTCAAATCAAGCTGCAGAACATTAAACAAAGTTCTTCTTTCGCAGGTGTCCGTAGAAGAATGGGTGTCAATGTGGAACGACTACGCCCAGAACCCATCTGCAGCTCTCAAGTGGCAGCAGCTGTACTGTCATTTCATGTTCCAGCTTGAAGATGCCAGTGCTGATGGATCCATTGACAGTGATGAGTTCACCACTGTTTGCTCCTCTTACGGAATTGATCCCCAAGAGTGCAAGGTCGCTTTTAACAAGATGGCCAAGGTGAGTGATGACTGTGATGACAACATTAAATGATGTACAGGACATGAAAAGATGTACACGATATTCAGATCCCAACATTTTCATAAATTCAATTCAATTCGAATTTTTATTTACGACGAAATATCCATATAGTGTTAGTAACAAAATGCTTGCAAATGGCGCGGTTGACGGGTAGCCCAAATTGGCCAATCATGCGGGGAATGCGAACGATACTCTTCGATTTGTGGACTGTATATAAATAAATATGTATGGTTGATTGGAAAAAATAAGGGTGGGAGCACAATACCTCTTGAAACCAACCGCGTTGCGTTCTGCCGGTGTTGAGCGATCTCGGCTCCTTGCTTTGCCCAGAGAGCGATTCTTGATGTTACAAGTTTGCCAAAAACGTACGTTCACTATAGTTTTCAGTTTAATATGGTTTCACTATGATGCAAATGCATGCTCTTGCGTCACACGCAAGGCTTGTGCGGGAAAAGGATGAGGAAGCACGAGGAAGTAAATGTTGATCCAATCAAATCATTGCTAACACGTTTCAAAGATGAAAGTGTCTAAATGTTGCGAGGTAAATTCAAATACCATTTTCAGCGCAATCACAAATTATGTTAATATGTACACGTACCCATGACTACCCATGATACAATATGCTTCCTCTCGGCCACTGTTTGAAGAAGGCCATTGGCACTGCCTTTTGCGTTAAGGACGCGACCCGGTTCCGTAAAATAGCGCTAAAGCCGTCCTCGCGCGCCTCAGTAAACATTCTCGAAGCGCTACAGTAGCACAGGAATCGCAACAGCATTCTGAGAGCGTCATTTTATACGCTTTCTGTAAAGACTTGACCCACAAGCTGCTGTGTAAAAGATTGACAAAATGCGAGTTAAAAAGCGAGTTTTAATCACATGTTACGGTTAAGATAACTTTTTTATAAAAAAAAACCTCAAAAGTTTGTGGAATTACGTCTATTTGCCAAATTTTATTCAAATCGGTTACGGAAAGTGCGCGAAATCGGATTCATCCCCTAGTTTGCCAACTGTATAGGTAGAATATTTTCTTCTAGGTAATTTAAATGGGACCAATACAAAGGTACCCTCATTCCAACAAAAAAGAATCATCAAAATAGGTTCACAAATGCCATGCAAATGAATAATTCTGTAACATACACACAAAAAAATATCGTCCAATTGAGAACCTATTTTTTTTTTTTGACTGTGGGAAATCTTTATGGATACCCCTGAGCCCAGGGAGACTCAGGGGTTATGTGGGGACTCTCCCTCCAGACTGGAGGGCCTACCCCACTAAAACCCCCCCGGGTTTCCATCTCGCCGGTTGAGTCGGCGCCGTGGGATCAGTGATCATTCACCACGCCGCCGCCCGGGATTGAGAACCTCCTCCTTTTTGATGGCGGTTAAAAATATTGGCAAAATGGCTTTAAAAAGCGAATTTTTAATGACATAGAGTGGTTAAGAAATGATAAAAAAATTAAGTAAACATTCACTAAAACGTAAGTTAAAACAGTACTTCTTAAAGTGTTTTTTTATTTCGTCAGTTAAGTACAAGTGTATGTTATTATAAAATGAATTAATTAGATATAATTAAGATCGCACATGTCGCCAACAAATGCACTTCAGTTTGGCGACTTTAGCATGTAAGTTTCTTTTCTACTTATTTGGTTTAGAACAATAAAAAACTGGTGACGAAGAATGTAATTTAGTTTTGCCATATTAACACATGAGCTGTAGCCCGATAGCAAATGTTACAAAACGTATCACATTGACAGCGTTTTATATTTCGTTTTCCTGTGACATAAGTTCAAACGTTGGCCTGTCAATGGTAAATACGTTCCCTCAACGATACGTATGTAGTTCAAACATTAAAATATTAGTGCGATTGCAAATGTACATAACATGTCACTTTAACAGCGATTTATATCTGGTTTAAATTTGGTGTTTACATTGGTATTTAACGCGATTGGGCTCCTAATTTTGATGTTATGTAAATAGATCAAAAGATTGTGGTAGACTCAAGTTAAAGTGGTAGTTGGATAATTAAAGTATTCTCTATTCCCATGACGAAAGCATCAAGGCTCCTCGATCTACAACATTGAAAGCCTATTCGGAAGTAATTTATGAAAACCGATCAAGATTATAAAATGTATAGAGCGAATGTAGATGAGAATGTGGAAAAGTTGACGTCGATGTGAATAGATATGCACGAGCTAGAGTAGACTCGTTCCGTAGCTCAGTTGGGAAAGCGGCAGCAGTTGCTGATTCAAGTCCAGGCGGATCAAAGAATTTTTTCTTAGTATTTCTTTTTAGTAGATCTTTGTATTTAATAATTATAACAAACTAACGTTTCGGGCCCTTTGTTGCTTAGTGGCCCACGGTTGACTGCAATCAACCGTGACCATGGTACCTGTAAAGGGCCCGAAACGTCGGTTTGTTTGAAAAAACAAATATACACGATTTAAATCCGGAAAAATAGTTCCATTTCATGTGTAACAATCGCGAAAATCTAAGAATTCAATATATAATAAATTACCTACATGATGACTGTACCCTAAAATCTAAAGATGTCGCAATAATTAACACCAATAAACAGAAATTAGCCAAGCAGTTAAAATCGCACCACAAGTCATTAAGGTTATATTTATAGCGTTATTTACGACTTGTTAACGAAAATCCGAGAAACTAGATTACAAAGTAACCCCTCTAATATTTCATTGCTCGATTCTTTACTATATTAAGACTGGAGCTGTGACTCCATGTCATTCGATTGCTCGACTCCTGTTCATATATATTTTCTAAAATACATTCTGGTCTTAATTCAACAAGTATTTAAATTCAGTAAAACCCTTCTGCGAAAATAACCACGGTCTTTGATTTTTAATTCGGAACTTAATCATGTATAAAACATATTTTAATTACCTCGACGTTTCTGACGTCAAATCTGCAGTCCTTTCGAGACTATGGACGTTGCAATCAACGTCCATAGTCTCGAAAGGACTGCAGAGGCAGATGTCATCATCTTCTAGCCGTGCGAGTTTTTCTAACAACCCGCACTTGGTTTTCATTATTTATTTGTGCACTAGGGTTCTCACTAGACCGACACACAACGCTCACGACATCATTAAATCCCGAATTGTCAAAACTTATCCTCAATATTTCAAAACACGTGGTGAAATAAATCAAAGACAGACTAGAGCAAAAATTATGAATCTTTTGTACCAACCTCGTTGCCATAAAGTAATTTATAAGAAAAACTGCTTCAACGTGTATAATTATTTACAATAATCTGCCAAATGAAATAAATTGTTGCAAGGACCATACTTTTAAAGTATAATTGACAAAATGGCTTTTGACACATTGCTTCTATAGTAATAAAGAATACTTAGAATTTCCAAATAAAAATTTACATTAATTTGAAGTGCAATTAACAGTAGAAAACAAACATGAAATTAATAGAAAGTGTTCCGGTTTTGAAGGGTAAATGTGCAGGTAAAATTACAGGCACGTGTTACTTGTCAATTTGTCTTAGGGTGACGGGCGCCACGGGCGCAGCGGCGGTGCCCCTCAGATCTTTGCGATTTAAAGCACTAAGCAGCACTGCAACTTTTATAGACAGGCGTGTAGCTTGTCATCAGGTGCACGACTTGTTCGTCCCGTCATTTCGTATTATAAAAAGAAAGTTTTCCATTCTCAATACGTTTTTAACATAATTCTCTACAAAATATGTATATCTAAACTGATTCCCATAAATAACAAGCTTATTTTCATATGTAAATCAGTAACAGGATATCCGTACTTTACTTCCTGATCCCTGGAGTATTGTCCCGCAGTGTAGTTCTAACATATAAACTTTCTACTCAGCCACATCAATTGATAATTAAATTTTCCCCGAAGGATGTGAGGATGTACACATAAACTTGAATTAATTAAGTTGGTAAAATAAAAGGATACCGGTAACCATATTCCGGTTCATAGGTGTAATTAATATATCCGAGATGATTTTGTATCTACTTTCTTTCATTCTTCTTCTTTAACATTTCCTTCCTATTATCTGCAGTTCTAACATATGAACTGGATATTCAGCAACATTATTGGTAACTAAGTTTACTCTAAAGGATGCAAGGACGTACATAAACTTAAATTAATTAGGCTGGTAAAACGAAAGGATACGGTAACCGTGTTCATAGGTGTAATTAATATATCCGGAATGATTTTGTACCTCCTTTCTTTTGACATCTCCTTAATATTTTTTATTTAGTCTCCTACATAATAATATGTGAAGTGATTCCGACCCAGACATTATTATTCCTAAGATCACGTAAACTCCCAGTGTATATTATAATGAATTCTGAATCAACATTCTATTGTCTATTGTAGTCGCCACTGGGCTGAAAAATTTCATTAAAATTCTATACACATAACTATAATGAATATTATATTACTAACACAGAACTATAATGAGTTTCAAAAAAAAAGTCGTATTTTTGCTAATTAAAATATCAATTAGCATGCTACTCAAACGCTATACTGCCTCAATTGGTTAAATTGGTCTAAAGCTCTTGCAACCGACCCGTACAACTTTATAAAAAAAATGTTTGGTTAAAATATATGCGGTACTTGGCCACTACACATATTTATATGAAGACACTGTATGGTGGAACCATCGTAACAGATGGGTGACAATTTATTTAAAAAAATGGCACATGTTGGCATGGATTGTTAACAAAATATGCACTAAATATTGGTTTTATTTCATTATTATATTCACTTGTAGAAAAAGTATTCTATGCAATCATTACATAATTAGGTCTTAAAATCTCGTATCGATTACTTAGGCCACTCAAAAAAGCCTAAACATGGTACTCAAGGTAATATGCAATAATTGCATAAAATACTATTAGTACATTTTAATATACATATATTGGGCGTTTAGCACTTTTCCCAATATACTTTACTGAGTGTTAGAACGTTATATGTAAATAAGAGTAGTTTGAAATAATATAGTAAGTTCAGTCAGAAAATTAAAAAAAGAACTCTCTCTACTCCCGATCTCCGTTCGACATCCGTCCGAAACAATTACTGTCAAATTTATTTATTTATTTATTTACACAACTCTATCCTTACAGGTTAGGTACACCCAATTCGATAGCGTCGACATCATTCTTACATATCTAATTAATTACTTATATCTAAACTCTATTACATATTATATTATACTAAATTACAACGAACAAACTTATCAGAACAATTGCTGTTATGCATATTTACACAACACCCATAGAGAAGCTTTCTCAAATTCGTTTTCAGAGCAACAGAATATGTCAATTAGATCATGTATGACATTTAGGTTTCGCAACATTCGTGTAAATGGCGCTTCTTTTAACATAGTCGTGCGTGCATGCGGTAATGCGAAGAGAAAAGGCCGCCGCCGTCGACCTACGTATTGGTCCGGCACACACAGTAACATAAGTAATATTCGACAAAATTAAAAGACAAGTATCCAGTATGAAGCTTCATTCGCATCACGCGTCTTTTCATTTGGTCAAGTATTGCTTATTTGGTCCGAAACGTCACAGGGATCATTATATCTCTAGGTGTACAAGCGATATTCGTATTTTCTCGGATTCGAATTGTACTTAGTAGCAACATTCGGAGTTGGACTGAGTTTTCTGATTTGTATAGTCTGGGATTCGGATTTCCGTCGAATCTCCACTTCCTTTGAGTCACCGCGCCGCGGAAGCTCATGTTTAAGAACCACTGACTGGTTCGTGGTTTAATTAAAACTTGATGTTCTTTATTGAACGTATTAGTATTAAGTAGCTCAATTTTTATCGTGACATATTTTTTCCCCACAGTGTAACAGTTTTTGCTTTTAAATTGCTTTATGAACAAAAGCCAAGAGTAAATAAACGCCTTACGTGTCTTCTGAAACACGTCTTGCTGTAAAATCCGTTAAAATTAGTATGCGCCTCGCCAACCAAGTGTCCGATTTATATTTCCTCCATTCTTCGTTGCCATTTTTAACCAATATCAAAAAAGGAGGAGGTTCTCAATTTGACTGTAATTTTTGTGTGTGTATGTTATGCGATAGCTCCGACTTTTGTGGACCGATTTCGATGATACCTTTTTTTGCTGGAAAGGGGGTACCTCGGTAATAGTATCATTGAAAGTTGAAGAAAATATTCCGCCTTTAAGGGTGGCACATTGGGAGTTAAATCCGTTTTATTGGGTTTCACCTACTTAGACAATGCTAAGCGTTTATTTAGCAAATGCCTGTTCACTCTAACCTTGATAAATCCTAAACATCTGACTGAATGATCTTGTTCTACGTTAAGAAGTTCAAGACCAGAGATAACCCTGTATTGTTTTTGAACAGGGAAAACCCAGCGTCTCCTGGGAGGAATTCCAAGAACTGTGGAAAGAATACTTCTCGACCGAGGACCCGAATGCCGCCGGGAACTTCATATTTGGGCGAACTAGCTTCTAAGCTATGACGTCACCGATCCCACATGGAAGTGGGAAAGAAACGCCGTCTTAAAAAACATTCTGGTATTATAATAGATGTAATTTTGGAAAACGCTCAAGCGCCGTCTTTCACACGGGTAGCCGCCGTTCAGGCAAAGCTTTACGAAAACAAATTGGGTGCAGTTACGCACCTTGTAAGACACCATGCTTGAAAAACATAGAAACCACAGCTTTGGAACGCCTGTGTGCAAGATAACTTGAAAAATTTTAAGTGTGTGTGTTCAGAATACTATAGATTAATTAATATTTCTCGTAATAGTAAATCAAAGTTTCATCTTTTTAAAATAATTTCAAGGCTCAAGCATTGTAGAACTTTGTTCTTAGATCTTAACGACAACGAAATATTTCACTGTTTCATAATTATTAGCATATCTCGTAGTCATATCTAAGATATAATATCTTTATCTCCGATTGCGCCACATTAGTCGAATTATGCATTATGAGAAAATATTATATTACTTATATTACATTTGTTAGACTATTTATCAAAATGTTACACGTACAGTTGATGCCCTAAGATATACCTGACCTGCCAGTTTGGTTCTGAGTAGAAAAGTGCGAAGAAAACTGTTAAACAAACTGAACCTATAACAAGCGAGCTGTAAAATGCACTTTGATTTGACTTCTTTATTGCATCATTAATTAGTCAATTTTATCTTTAACGAATACTTACTTAAAAACAAAATACAAATATTAATCATAAATACGTAAAAAGGGTCTCAGAACGAAAATATAGGGGTCATTACCTTAGAGCATTGACTGTACATTTGGAATGTCATTAAGTTTAAGGACAGGTTGCTACACAAAATCTTATGAAGATTATAGAAATTAGTACCATTGTATCTGTCTAATTAGATCGTAAGTTTACTTGATTCTAGTATTATATTATTTAATTATAATATTTCATCTATTTTCTAGTCTGTCTTTTTTGAAGACGGAGTAAAATGACATTTGCAGAGTTGTCAGTTTTCGTAAAATTTTAAACAGTCATGTAGTATTAGTCGACAGTTTTATCGATATATTGTGAAAGTATATAAAATTTTGCCAAAAATGTCTGAATTGTGTTCTAATGATTACTAATACGCTACAATAACGCTTGTATTCTTTATTCTTATTTTAAACATTATTATCAAAAAAAAATTTTAGTTATACTCACTTTAATAACGACAGGCGGATATGATTACGGATTTTAAATTACAATGAAATACTTGAAAATATATCTCCTGATTGTATTTTTAATAGACGTACTTCTAAATTTAGTGTACGTATGAATGAATTTTCAAAAATTAACAAATCAAATGAACTTGTGCCCGGCAGTTGGACGTATAATAGGCCGATGATGAATAAAATGAAAAAAGTTTGACTATTTATTTCATAAGCGTAACCAACACTTAGTCGATAGTCGATATAATATTTATCGACTGCAATCACTAGCTGCTTGCAAGCGGGCAACACTTTCGCACAATGAACTGTCATTTTACTCTGTCTTCAAAAAAGACAGACTATAGATGTATTTCAAATACTTTATACTAAAACATACGTGTGGCAACCTTTTCTCTCTAATTATTTGTGTTCATGTTACATTTGTAAAATCTATAATATTTGTTAGAACATAAAAGTATCAAATACTCAAAATTCACATTATGTCTATATAGTATATATCTTTATATATTCCTATTAAATTTTGTCTATCATAAGACGATTATTGCAACTTCTTTAAGTCGCTACTTACACATAAGTATAATAGACAATCAATTAAATGTATGTATATAACTAATTAGTGTTTTATTTCTTTATTTTCGTTTTAACTCACCAGTAGGGCTGAACAGCGTGCGGTTAGGTATTTAATGTGGTGTTAGTGTTTGTCTATCAATGTAGTGTGTAGTTGAATGCAGCAAATACCAATCGCCTGCTGTACATGAATTTATGGTAAGATAATAACTACTCTATCAGAATCTAACGGAGAGACCTCAAGGGTCGTCTTACGATCTATCAAGTGTAGCCCTACAACCTAACGGTGTGTAGCCTAACCTAACCATAAATATATAAATGGAGAGATATATAGTATAAGTAAGGAAGTTTGTCACCAGGAGACCTAAGGTGACAAACGGAAGTTGGGAAGGAAATTAGGATGTACACGTCGTGCGATGTGTACAGGAATGGTTTTCTCACTGCCGGTCAAGCAGACTCACAAGACCGATCTACTGATGGCTAAAGGTGTCTTGGCCACAGTGAGAGGAGTAGCAGGTAGTACGTCACTAAGCAAGGAGATGAGTTAAAATCAGATGGTATTGGTTAACTAACTTTATTTACAATATTTACTGACTATTTATACAATATTTGTTTATACTACATTATAGTAAGTTTTCGTAGTGTGCATGGGGTGTTATTGATGACTAGGTTGATTTTTGTTAATTGGCATAGTACGTGACTATGCTGCACTTGTTGCAAAAGAATGATCTGTTGACGAGGCTAGTTTTTGTAGCATTTTATTCGAGGTCGCTATTTTGCAGTTTCTTCGTTGTTTATATTATGTTCAACCTTGAACAAGGGCTTTGCGAGAATAGCATTTCCTCTGCTCTCGCGCAAGTCGCACACTACTGTGCTAGGCCCGCTGAGCATGAAATCTATAGGAAATGCTTATTTAAAACAGACCCTTGTGACCATTTTTTAATGTAACTTGAAAACTATTCCGCACACTATTTTGATAGTCTCAACAAAACAAGCAGTAGAAGTCTTTGTGTCAGAGTTCGCGCAGGGAAATTATGTCACCTTACCTATTTCTGCCGCCAGCAGTAATGTGAGCATTACTGCGTCCCAATTTTGAAGGATAAGGCTGCTGGTGAAATTACAGGCACATGGGACTTGTCTACTTATATCTCTGGTTTACTTATGGACAGGCGTGTCGCTTATCACTTATGAGTTGTTTGTCCCGTCCCTGAGTATGATAAAAAAGAGGTACGCGATAAAACACGCGGTGTTTTAATTAGTATTTTCTTCTTCCACATAAAAGTCACAAGTTATGATATTAATAAAATTTATTGCATAGTAAGACACTGGTACTCGAACATGTTGTTCGTGTATTTTGAGACACCAGTACCCGATTCATGAGTTCGCAATCAATTGCAAGCGACAAAGTAAAATAAAAAAATACGTACGGAAAATTATACGTATAGGAAAGCCTACATGATGCATATACAACAATAGCAATTATGCATTCGGTTACAAAATTTAAAGGTACATAAACTTCGTACTTATTGGCTAACATAGCCAGTTATTAATTCAAGAATTTATGAAAATTAATTATTCAATTACTCTTTATAATTTTATAATTTCAATTTTCTTTACAGTTAAAAAAAGTAAAAACGATATAATTATAACATTTTACATAAATGATGATGATGATGACATAACAGATCAGTCAAAATTTTCGATAAAATATTTTTAAAATTGTATTGTTTAAAATCTTCTTGTTAGTGCGCGCTACATTACAGAGGCGCTGTATAATTTGTTATACAAAATTCTCAAATATTACGCGGACACTGTAACTACCTGTGATTTCAACAGCACCCTTACCCTTCAAAACTGAAGTGCTAAACTTAAATGGCACATTACTCGTAGAATAAATGGCCGATGGGGCCGTAAATTTCTGGGTAATTTTCAGATTAGTTTTCTCTGCCTAATTTCGGTGGGAAAATTTATTATTTAAGTATTCGAGTACATTACCGTCAAATATTTAATAACATTTCAGGATACTGTACTCGAAATATTAAATAATACTTCAAATAATTTTCAGAATCATTCTATCATATATCATATTTATTATTTATTTATAAAATATTCCGTGGCCGAACGATTATCACGCTAGTCTGCGACGCAGAGAGAGAGAGAGGCCGGGAGAAATATTTGGGAGTTTGGTTGTAATTTGTTGTTGTAGACAACTATGTGTGTTATGGGTTTCCCTAGTGCGGAACTATGAATGTGTGCGTTATAATTATTATTATTAAAACTAATCTGAAAATTATCCTTCTCGAATGGCGACCGAGTACCGGAGGATGCAGCGGGAACAGACCACACGTGGACCTATGACCTGGTGAAGGTTGCCAGCTGCATAAGACTGGTCATTGTGACGATTTTTGGGGAGACCTGCGAAGGCCAGTCAACGTTATTAGTGAAAGTGTTAAACAGCGAAAATGTTAAATCAATCACGGTGGAAAAAATATATACTAAAATTGGGGATATACAACGGTATGAAAACACGATTCCTAAACATTTTCACGATAGATAAAAAACACAAACTTACCTCGAAATTTTAAAAGAAAACTGCTGTATTTATTAACTTTACATATACCAATTACTTCTTTTTTATATCAACTGAACTAAGTTAAATACGTAGAATATACCTTATACATTTTTCAAACGGCTTTAACTTCGTTGACAGAAAAATAAATTCTGAAACAAAGCCAGTGTCCCTGTCACTCGACCCAAGCAAAATTAACCGTATTAGTAAGGGAAAACTTGAATTCGAGCTGAGATAATATCGACTCTTAACGCCAAACTATGTATCTCTAGATCAATCAACACTGAGTTAAAGTCAGCCCTAATGCTATTTGGAAATCTGACATTATTATCTGAACGCAAATTAAAAATCACTGATGCAACATTCAAAATATAATACCAAGATATAACAAATTAAAAATACTGAAAAGTTAGTTTAAACAAATTTTGATTTAATTCCATGGTTACTTTAACTCGTAAAAAAATGTCGTATTTTAGGGTGAAACTTTAGGGTGAAACCTTAAACTTTTTGGTCAAGCATAAATTTATTCTTCCATTTAAGCGTTTTATTAAACGATATTTAAGCCAAGTTAGTCCCTGTGCAGTACTTAACACTATGTGTCAGATATAGTATCATTGCATAATCAACTTTACGATTTTAATTCGATTCTAAGTCACAATAAGAACCGTTCAGTCTTTTGGAGTACCGCGTAGCTCACTGTACTTTACATTTTAAAACGAAATTTTAGTAGTAATAGACATAGATTGTATGCGGCACTGTTTATTCGGTAAGATTGAGACTGCAAAAAAAACGTGCATTACAATCCCGTGTGAACAGGGGTAAGGGTGCTGGTGAAATTACAAGTACATGAGATAATTTTAGTAGGATCTCTACTACTGCTAAAATTTCTCTAGAAAGTGACAGAGTTTGTCCAGGGAAGTACTGCCACATTACCTGTTTCTGCCACTAAGCAGTAATGGGAGCATACTTGCATTTCGTTTTTGAAGTATAAGCCTTCGTTCGGCATTCTCCAGCACGTTTTTTGTTCTATTATAAACGAATAGACAGTGAGGTAAAAACACGATATATTTTTTTCACGATATAGATTTACGCTTTGTTGCACTTTTATATTAGCATAGAAGGAGCCAACGACTTTGCCGCCAGAAGAACAGAAGGCACTGGGTTTATCCAATGAATCAAAAAGCAGTGGGTACAAACACATTTCAAAAATCGTACGAAAATTTGAGAAATGATTTGAAAAAAAAATCATTTACTTTCGGGTGTCCATAGCTAGTTTTGACAATTTATAAAAACGTGTGTGAATTTTTATACAATTCCAGTTTTGTCCCATAAAACGGGCCTTTGTTCCAATAAAGATATCAATAAATCGTTGTATAACGCACACACTCAACATAGCCCCGCACTAGGGAAACCCTGTATCACGGGTACCATGGACACACACATAGACAACCACAAATTACACCCAAACTCACGAGAGAAATAAATGTAGGGTATACAAATATTTCTCCCGGCCCGGGAATTGAACCTGGGGCCTTTGCTTGGCAGTCCGGCATGGTAAC